CTCACTGTCGTAAACATTTCTGAAGTGAATGGCACGGGGCACTAAGGAGCAGAATGCCCAAGTAGGGATTCCACTCCAGAATCCACAGAAGCAGGATACTAGGACTATCTCTCAAAATCCACAATAACTGTAATTAAAAATGAAGATAAACTATGAAATGTTGGCAATGTGCATGGTTAGTCTTACAGCTGCACTTGGTTATGCTGCAATCACAGGGTGCACTGTTGTAAGCCAAAATGATGCTCCATTTCCTGTGGATAGTGCTGTCAAATTGCACTGTTATTGACACCGAGAAATGTCTTGAATCTCCACAATGCACCACTCAACAACACACTTTCCCTTCAGAAATATTATTTCCAAGCATATTTAAGGATCTCCAAATGGAATGACTTCAGTGAAATTAATCCTGGTAATTGTATTAAAGAAATCTAATTAGAAGCAGTGTGAAAGATAATGCCACTTAAAGAATTAAGTAATTAAAAGTGAAATGCTACTTAGCATAAGAATATATTCTAGGTGGTTTAATACAAAATTATTCTCAGTTTTAAGCATCTTCCAAAATATCTTTCTAATGGACCTTTTCACAAAATTGATCAATAAACAAATAGCCTGTGTGTGCCAAAAATACACAGCACTGAAAAGTGTAGACGATTGAATAAGCATCAGTGAAAAGCCTCTTCAGAAAAAAGGTGTCTGTCTATATGTATAGACATATGTCATATGTATAGATATATATGTCTAGACATATACAGACATATATAGACACACACATATGTCTACAGACACATATAGTAATTTTATTTAAAACTTAACACCATAAGAAAAAATCAATTTGTTGTTTTAAAAACTTGACTCAGGATACATTTACACAATTAAAGACTTCTGCTCAAATGGATTCTTAGGCCAAATGAGTGCAGGTTTTTTTAAACAACAGAAACAAACACAAACAAAACAAACCTGAACCCCCCTCCCCCCATTTCAGTCTAACGGTGAATAACAGAATTTATGTAATAGTGTGTGAAAAATACAGTCTCCGTTTATTTGTAAGCACAGTTAGCATTGCCACTTCAATAAATACTGTTATGGTAACTGCTGAGGAAAGCAGGAAATCCAAATAGTAGTGTGGGATAATGCAGGGAGGCCCGGGTAAACAGAGGTAGCAGGAACGTTTCGTTAAGTCATCCTGTATCGCAAATCCAGAGGCAAAAGTTGCACTAAAGCAGGCTTGTAAAGACGGAATGGCTGCCTCCGGGCGTGCCACGTGCAGACCTGCAACAGGTCTGCTACTGTTAATAGTCTGCTTAAATATTTTTTCCCCCCTCAAATTTTCAGCAGTGACGAGCTATGGTTTCACACACCTGAAAGCCTTTGGTTTCCAAATTCTCTATGGAAAGTCCTTCGCAGCAGCAGCAACTATCTCTCAGTATTTTATAAAGACCAAGTGAAAATGTAAACTTTGAAAAGAATATTGCATCAGATACCAAATATGGCATCCATGACAAATAAATGCATGTAGAGAGGGAAAAACGTACAAACCATAGAGCCACTGAAGACAGTACCAAGAGAGGCAGATTCCCTTTCAAAAGCCAAGCATCAGTACTTAACTATTACATAACCTACGGCTCACATCAGTGTCAAGGAAGACGCCAACAGCAGGGCAATCTATTAAAATGACTTGTTAAAATAATAGATATACAAAAACCCTAACTCAAACAATCCTAATGTTTTATAGGGTTACATATATTACATTTTATATACATATATATGCACACATATCCATATGCCAAGAGAACACATCTGACCTTGAAGGACCCTGCCAGGAGCCAGTGAACAGGGGCAAGAAGTAGTGTTTAAATAGCCCAAGAGCCAGTTAGCCCAAATCCATATTCACTCATAGCTCTCACCAGCAAGGGCAAGATCTGGAAAGATCCCTTTGGAAAGGGGCAGCTGTAGGAGAAGAGCATGGAAGGGTCCTCCCCACAGGAACAAAATCCCTGCTGCTGCTTCACGCTGGATCTCCAGGCCAGTGGGAGCAAGGGCACTTCTTGCTCCCCAGCCTGGCTTACAGAAAGCAGAGCAGCCTGCTTGTGCCAGAAGGTGCTGATAGCAAGGACAGGTAGCTGAGGCTCCAGCAGTGCTTTGGAAGTAAAGGGCACTCCTGTTTCATAGATACAGACTTACCTTTGACAAATCTCACTACAAATGCCAGGGCATAACCGGAAAAGGAAGATAGCTTCCTTCTGAGGAGACCAAACAAGATAACCTAAGAAACTGGGAAATAAAATAAGGATGTGCACAGCAGTGGGAGACAGCTGCATCTTTCATTGCCATGAGGATGGTCTCATTTTAAGCCACTCTAAATGTTATTCCATTACGGCTTATCAGCTCTCCCTCTCCTCTTTACTGGTTTCCTTTCAAGCACTTTTCAAATAGGGATGATTACCAAAGGCTTCCTAAAAACAGGGAGGATTTAAGTGAGCACAACCCACCTGCAACATGGAGGGAAACACAAATTTTGCTCAGAGCACAAAGTTGCTGGACATGCTGTGCAGCGCCCAATCCCGTTCTACAGTTCATTTGCAAGTCCACTCCCAGAGATGCTCCTGCACAACAGCAACAGGTTTGGGAAGGAGCAAGGGGTTGTGACATCCATTTGACTGAAAATCTGGACAACTTCTCTACCTCAAGGCCCAACGCCCAGTACAAGCAGCACCAGTGTAATCGATAGTTGCTGCCCCAAAGGGGACTCGGAACCAGCTTCGCCAGCCCCACGGTCGCCCTCGCGAGGCAGCGAGCGAGATGAAGCCACCAGCACGCACACATTGTACCAAAGAACACACCAGCAAACATCACTTTATTACATCGGTTCAGTTGTCCAGACTAACCATAAAAGCAGCTTAGATAAACACAGATGGACACAAGTTAGTGCTTCTGTATTAGCTCAAAATTCCAGAATTGTTATGAGGGAGCAGCTATTTCTGGGTTGTTTCCAAAATACAGAAGTGGGTCTTGGGAGGGGGAGCCCAATGGGAATCCTCCCCACATGTGCCTGGTACCCCCCGAGTCAGGAAACAGACCCAGAAGGTATTTCAGAGGTCAGAAAGGGGAGTCACAGCATTAATCAGCACAGACAGAATGGAAACACACTGACCAGAGCCTTGATCAACAGGGACGACACAGGCACAAGACACTGGTACTAGCTACCCAAAAATCAGTTAACAGTTCCTAAGACCGGTGTAAAGCCAGGACTAGAACGACCCTGGTGGAAAGACACAGAAATAAATACTCGCTCACCTCTGCAATGTCTGCCCCTTTCCAAGCTTGTCGCCATCTAGTTACAACAGTCGTACGTTCCTCACTATGTTACAGCAGCAAACTACTACAGTTTAAGAGCAGCCGTCGAGTGACTATACACAGTACACTGTACGTACTCGAGAAGCCTGATGCCACCTCTCGTACTTGTCATCCTCCTCTTGATTTAAGCAGCAGGAACGGCCCCCACGGCCAACAAACTTTGCTTAATTTGTTGAGCTCTTTGGATGCAATTGAACTGCATCTTCATGAACTGCATAATTAAAGTCTGCCCTACTGCTAAATGCCCATTGTTTAGGGGGAGAAAGTATTTGGGTCACTGTAAACACAAGAGAAATGCAGATTTTGGTTGCCGTTCAAGTAAAAGACCAAAGCAGGTCAGAAATATGAATGTTTGCTCAAGTCAGCAGCTCTGCAAGTCCCCTGCTACTTAAAAAAATTGAGATCAAGCTCTTAATTTTACTTTTTACTGGTGTTTTTTTTTTTTGAATAAACCCTTCCCTGAAAAAATAGCATAAAATATCCTTTAATAGCCAGATTACTATGTTTAAAAACTGATATGGCTACAGGTCTGTCAGTCTTGGAGGCCAGTGCGAAGGCTTAAGAGCAAGCGCAGTTGATGCTACCCCGACGCTGATGCTCAGCGTAGCACCTTACCTCTTTACATCTTGAAAAAAGGACCTGAAAAGTGCTGCCCAGGTTTCTAATTTCTTTTCCTAAGGCTGCCTAGTCAGCCCTGCAGATCCTCCACTGTCATACATGACTCAGGAAAGAACCATGAGCTTTCCCTCAGTTAGCTTTTGGCAGTGACAGCAGCGCGTTGTTTTGTGCGTGACTGCAGAGAACGCTTTTCCGCAGGGGGCTGCGGAGTCTGGAGTTACTTTGGGGAGGAACGGAGCAGTCCTGAAGGATGGTAGAGCCGGACATGCCTCATACAGCAGATACCAAGAACGAAAATCCCTTGATAAGCAAAGGAAAGCAGTTGAGAATAAGGCAAATAAGACTGGTGAAATAACTCCCAGTTTTCTCCTTGTAGCATATTTTACTCCATGAATGTAATGAAAGGCAGGTTAAGCTTTCTCATTTAACCTTCCCTTTAGCTTGAGAGATGACCAATAATAATAATAACAATAACAATAATAATAAAAAACTAAGGACAAGTCTTCTGCCTCCCAAGGGCTGTGGTATAACCTAGAACAATCATAGGCTATTTCCAGGATGCTGAAAGTCAGTTTAGAGAAAGGCAATAACCCCCGTGCGACAGGGGCTGTAACAGTAGTGTTCTGGGTCATATTCTGTGCAATTACGCAACTTGTTCACGAGCTTCAGTCACCTACCCACGCTTCTCACTGCAGTTCTGTTAAGTGGTGGCTGAAAAGGTTAAATATTACTCCACAGCTCAAGGTGGTTTCAGCAGAAATTCAAAATCCATTTCCTGTGATACGTGTCCGCATTCTCCAAAACAAGCATTCCTACTGCCCAAATGTCAACACTGAAATCTCACAGGTTCCTGGAAATAAATCAACAAGATTCATTTGCACTTTGTTTCATAGTCCCTTCTCTCCAAACCTGGCTTTGCAAAGACACATGGTATGCTTGAATGAAGGTCTCTTCTTGTTGAAACGGTGTTAGCTCTTACTTCCCTCTAGACAGACTTTCTCCAATTCTGACTAGCCGCATACGAGGAGGGGTACATATGTCAAAGTGACATCTTTTCCCCAAGAGGATTTTCATATGTCGAAAAACTAACAATGAAAATTACAAATTAGGTAGAATAAGGTTGCAACTGTCCACCAGGCTAACTGGAGCACTATGAGTTCCTCTTAACCCTTTGTCCATTGCTCAAAGTTTCCTTTCCCTTAGTTTGCTCCCATTTTGTTCATCCACTATGGAGGAAAGTCCATCACCATTACTCAAGCATTTGTCTCTCTCATTTTTGTGTTCTTGCTTCTGTCGTCTTATCTCCTTATACCGCAAGGTGATGTCACTAAAAATAATAAAAAAAAGCAACAAGTTTGTACCAGTGTTGTGAACAAACAATTTAAATACCCTATAAAAAGAATATGGATAACTTGTTCTGGATGCAAGCAGCCTTGGGATAATTTAATCCATTTCAGTCTTCTGGCTCTACATTTCTAACTTTGCTAATGACACTGAGGCCTAACACATTTCAGAAGCATGCTCAAAAAGAGCAGCCCCTGCCATTGCACAGGGCCTGCTCTGCAGATCAGTTCTTCCAGCCACATGCTGCTGCTTTTCATTTACTTGCAGAGATAGCACATGCTAGATCAGCATCCAAACCAAATGTGTTTAACTTGGCTCACTTGCTGTTGACACTAGGAAAGCTTGGATAACTGCAGTGCAGCAAAATGATCTTGCAATGAAGCTGTGAAGCATCTTAATTTTCTCTGAACCACGCCACAAGAAAAAAAAAATGCCGAACTTGGCTGCCATCTTCATTATCCCCGAAAGCCAGTTGGAAGCAGGGGCTTAAGTGCTCGCCTGCTTCTATAGCAGCTCTAAAATAAATAATGCTACAAAGATCCACAGGTTTGATCCAGAAAGACTGTGAGAAAACTGCCTCAAGCACTTCTTACCGTATGAAGAAACGCCAGGCTGTCCAGGTGAGCACAAGGATGATGCCCAAGATCCAGCACTGGGTAATGTAGAAAGGAAGAGAGAGCGTGAGGGTATAGGGATCGTACTTGACAACAATCAGAAACTCCGTGGCAGTAATGGCAGCAACCAGCCATGCCTGCTGACCCAGCTTCTTATGGAACTTCCTGCAAAATAAATATAGAGATAAAAGGATGACAGAGCTAAAAGAGGAAGCATTCAGAGAAGTAATCATTCAGAAAAAGACAGGTGGGGAAATCATTTCACTGAGCCTTGCATCATACTAAAAGTCTAGTTTGGATTACACATGTCCTGCGCTTGTGTAGGCTGAGCACTTTCATGCTAGTCTTACTTTGTCTTCCATAGAGGCTCTGAAAACACTTCAAAAATTAAGCTACTGTGTAAGAAAGCAAAGCCTCTCTATTTCCAGGGGAACAGTAAATCCCGACCAACTTGAGCAGGTGAACTTTGAGGAAAGGTATGAGTCAAGCTCTACCAGGTTCCTCTGCAAACATCAAGTCACAAAGCAATAACTGCACTTAATGCTTATATAGCTACAGTCTGAAATATATCCATTTCCAAAAAATCATTCAGTGAGTTGTCATTGTTGATCTCTGAAAGGTTTTAAAAAGATAACACTTAATAACAAACAGATAAGATACTGGAGAATGCAAAGAGGAGATTTCATTTGTGGATAACACTACCTCAGGGCAAAAACAAGTCTAATATTTAATCACAAAGGTTACTTTTTAAGCAGTACCAGACAAACAAGTGAAGCTACACTGATCTGTACCATCTAACACAGTAACCTATCAGCAATGCTAGAAATTAAACTGCAAATTAAACTGCAGTAGAAAAGATGTCTCTTCAGAGGCTTTATTATACAAGGACAGATTAGACACCGTCTTTTAGGTCACCTATGGGAGATGCATATATTCAGACAGATAGATACAGATGCATATATAAAAAATATCTATAGGCTGCCTTTCAGGAAACCTCATTACCCTTGCAGGCAATAGTTTATTGCTAGAAACTCAGGTGAATTGCTTCATGTAAACCAGCTAGTTTCTGCACTTGTGGTCCTGTCTCTTCATGCCCTTGCCTGGCTTGGTGGTTTTTACAGCTTACGGGCCTGACTGCAGGCGCCTCGTCTGTCACTTATCAAATTGGCTCTGTTTGGACACTGCAAGACCCTCTGATGCCTCGGGCTGCAGCAGGCAGCCTGCTCACCGCAGCACCACTGCTGCTATGGGTGCATTGCCTACCACCAGGCAGTCAGGCAGACCTTCCCCATTTGGTAGACTAACCTTTTCTTCTATCACCAATCAGTGGAACCTAAAACGGGATTTCATTCCCATTAGTGAGAAGAGCCATAAGAGTATGCCAGAAGTCATATTTTTTTTTGCTTTTTCCTAAGAGATTTAACAACAGGTTTCTTGAATTCCAACTCTTCTGAATCAAGACCAATTTCCTGCTTTAGGGAAACAATACCCTCGGTACCAGAGCCACCAACTCTTATCTGCAAGCACAGGCATCTTTTCTTAACAGCCTTTGGATACTATCTTGTACTGAAAAGTCACAGGAAGAAGCATTTCAGGATTGTTTCTCCTACCCCACCTTCCTGGGAGCACTATAATTAGCCCATAGCCCACAGAGTTATTACTCATCTGAAGAAGTCTCCCAAAATAAAACAATCCAACTAGAAGCACCACTGACAGCCTTCAAGGCAGCTCTTTATTTTGCCTTCTATTACTTTACTTCTACCGCCTTTTTTTTTTTTCCTTTGATTTTAGTGGAAGTGTCTAAACCTTTCTCCACTCCAGAGTGGAAACAGGGCAAGGAGTATCTCAGTGCCAAGTCCAGAACTGCCAGGACAGGAACAAAGTGACATAACAGAAACCTGCAGTGGGCTGGGAAGAACACATCTAAGTGACACCTGCAATACTAGTAATGGGAAATTGTAGCCTGGCCTTGGCCAGCTGTGATCTGCACCCTCCTGTCCAGCTCAAACTGAGGCTTAATAAATGCCCTGGTATTCAGTGGCTGTGTAAATCTTTTGGGCTTTATTTTTCCAGCTTGTTTTGCCACGCAAAAAGCAGCCAGCTAACAAATCCTGCATTGGGAGTGCCTCCCACAGCGGTTGCTCAGCCAATGCTTCCCTCTGCTGGGCAGAAAGGCACAGCTGCCCTAGGCCTTGTCCCCTCCGGCTGTCAGTGTCCGTCTCCTGCAGAGCTCAAGGGAGGCCCCAGGCGCCTTGGCAGGGCTGGCGCAAAGGCTCTCCAGGCCCAACACTTCCTCTCGCTTTCTTCCCCCCAGTCCCTCACTGTCCCTCGATTACAGTAAAAACCCTCTTGAAGCAGAAGCCAGCAGAGAGGTGGAAGTGAGCACTTTGGTTCTGGAGAGCCTGCAAGTCAAGCACATGACACGTTTGCTTTAACGTGAGGCTAAGAGCCTCACTTGAGAGCAATGTTTCAGTTCAAACTGCACAGAATTGTCCAAATACACCAAGGAGGGAGACAGGGGAAAATCTGACATAGTAAACCAAAGAAGTATTACTGCAGGCACAAAGATGATGAGTATGTTCCAATAAAAAAAGTATCCTGCCTAGACCAGCTCAAATGAAGGGAATTTAAAGACTGTTCCATGCGGGTTATGAGGTATGACAGATTAAATAGGTAAAAACTAGCTTTACTACCTGGATGGGTAAGAATAAAAACCAGATTCCACCCTATGAACTCAAGTTGTTCAGATGACTAGGCCAGCTGCCTGCTTTGCTGAGCTTCTTCCTCACCTGCCATTTTTTTTTTGCCTGTCACTATCTTATGAAAACTTAGTAACAAAAGAATCTAATATGACCCTAAAGGAAGAACTGTGCAGACCCTGGGGTTGCCACAGAAAAAAGAAAGGGTTGGTTTCCTCACTTCCTACTCAGAAAACATTTTGTATTTGAAGTTTAAAATTCATGTCCTTAGTAAAAGCTCCTTGGAAGAACCCTAAGCACTAGCAATCACAGAGCTATGGAGAGATGAACTGCAGATGCTGCAGACTCTTACAGTGAGACTCTTCTGGCAGGTACTTTTTAAGGCACCAAGACCTCAAGCACTCAGAGGCAGCAGGTTAGCTGCAATGGGAGACAAGGTATAGGAGTTGGATGGCAGCTCCAAGAACCATCCCTTGCAGATTGCAGATTTCAGTTCTATACACATTGCTGTCATTGCTCACAAAGTTCCTGCAAGCAGAGTCCTAGAACCGTGTGCAGACACTGGGAATCCTGAACAAGGAAGAAAGGAGGAAAGAGAAAAGACTCTTGTATTTGATCTTCATTACTTTCCACAGTAAATACTGCAAGGTTTGTCTACCTCAGACAATCCAGTCATTATGGACAAGGCAACGTGCCATGATCCTGACAAGGAAGGTCAGCGGAATATTGCAAGCACCGTCAATTAACAAGTTGAGAGTTTCCAATAGCAAAAAGTCTGAAAGGTTTTTTGTGTGCTGTTGGCTGGGAGCCTCCCAATACTGCTGGCTCCTCCACACCATCTTCTTCCTATAATTTAAAAAAAAAAAAAAAAAAAAAAAAAAAAAAAAAAAAACACCACACACACACACCACAAGAAGAAATTCACCACAACTCCTTGGCTCACAGTGATGCACAAGCAAAAACACATCCCATTAAGCTGATACAATGGGAGCAGATTGCCTCTGCTTGGATGAGATGAAAGGCATGAAGGAATCCAAGCTCAGCTGCAAAAGCCTTTGAGGAGCAGGTATTAGGTGAAGCCAGATGTCAGCATCTGCCCCTTTTCAAGGAGAGTCTGACAAGCTTGGGTCTGTGGTGCATCAAGCAGTCCTCAGAAGTGAGGGATGTAGTCACCTTACCTAGCAAGACGACAAAAGGATAGATTTTTGGTGGCCATGATGAAGATACACAATTCAGAAGGAAGATTCTTCTGCTTGCTGGGCAAATTTCTCCAGCCCATTGAAAAAATGGCAAATTGCATCAGTAATGATGGAGATGATTCTCCTAAGTCTCATGTGTGATCGAGCAGAGGGCAAACAGCAGCAGTTGTGTTTCCAACCGAAACACAAGGCCTGGAAGATGAAGTGGCACTAAGGAGCTCACCAGTGAGAGGTAGCGACCTCTTCTTACCTTCGAGTTGGAGGCACATTCCAAACCAGGAGGTCCAACACCAAAGGCAGGGAGCAGCCTGCCACTGCTGAATGTCCTGAAATCCAACTAAGCAAGGCAGATTGGCCTTTCTTGCCCATTCTAGGAGCCAAAGCCTTGCAAGGAAAATTGATCTTCAGAGAAGGTTGGAACCCTAAATTCTGAACACAGACACTTGTTGCATTGGTCAGCAACAGAATGAACAACCCTTGAAGACAGACATTGTCTTAGACTTAAGCTGTGGGTTCAGGCAGTTTGTAACACTACTACTAAAGTTTAAAAGAAAAGGTGATTTTGAGAACAAAGCATTCTTACGTCTTACATGGTCTGCAAAAACAAAAGCAGCAAGGATAAATATGATGCTCAAGTAGGAGCAGTCTGAAAGTACATGCCCTGCTGGGTGTGGGTGCACTTTGCCTGCAACATAGATCTGCAAAAGGGTGCCACAAGAGTGCCAGAGGACCTGAGACCAGCTGCAAGACCACTCAAGAAGCAGCACCTTAAGAGCAGAGCTGCTTGAGGCCCTGCTCTCCTTGGACAGTGCATCTAAGGATGGTAGTTCTCAACTAACGTTCTCAAAGCGGAGTTCAGTTCTCTCATGAGCCAACAGCACTCTAGCTGGTTTACACATTACATTCTCAGAGTGATCATTTATGACAAACTAGGGTTAAAAACAGTGCACACAAAGCCCCTAATGACAACTGCTCTCTAACCAGATAGACTCAATTTTACCTCTCAAAAGAAAACAAAGCAGATGCTTCAGGTCTTCTTTGTCCCCAACAGGCTGAACTATTGCTGTGAGATGGATGCCAACAAGCTAGAGCAAATCGGAGCAAATTCAAAATAAAGCAAGTGAAGCTTGATATGATTATAGACACAAGAGGACTGGCTTACGGGTCATCCATGAAGTCGTAGATCTCCCTCATAGCCACACCTCCCACATTGACAAAAAAGACAAGGCGCAACAGGACCAAGTAGTGTTCTGGCGGCATCCAAAGGACAAACTTCAAGTAAAACGTGTTCAGCTCTGCCAATAAAAACTGAGAAAAAGGACATTATAATTAAACTCAGAGGACTTTAGTGAACGAAGCCTGGAATCTCCCTCTCCCTTGGCACAACTACCCTCCCACCATTTACCTGTCTCCACACCACACTACCCAGTAACAGTGAGCCCACTGTCAACAGTTGCAATAATCTGCAAGAAGTTTCTTTCAATTTTTTGCATGTTTCAGAAAATGTTTGAAAGCAGCAACGCTTGTGCACAGCACATAGGCATAAACAGTCTGGCCTAGCCCTGCCTCTGGTTTCCAGCAAGTTTACGGGGTGTTTGAGGTAGCTCTACAGCTACTGATAACATACCCTTGGACTAACAACTTGTCCTTTCACTGTCATTTAAAATCTGATTGATGGAACCCAAAATAACAAGAGGCATGAGCAATGCAAACCTTCTTTAAAAAACAACACAAAAGCAAAATTGAAACAAAAACACTCACTTATGCAGACATGACACCACTGCCTAGGCCAACTTTGGAGCATTGATTATATATTTACAGGAAAATGTTCTCAGAGGGAGCAGTCCAGGCAATGCAATTAAGTGAACAGCAGACACAAATTTCTTGCTTCACAAGGAATGACAGCGGAAAATATCATGTATTGCTCACTTCAGAAGAATGCTGCTTATAAATGGGAAGTCAGCCACAGGGTGGCTTTCCTAAAAGATACACTATTTCCCCAAACTAATATGAAATTCAGTGGAACCTTTAAGTTTCTGAATCTGTTCCAGCTGCTAAAAATTAATGCCTTTCAGGGAGTACTAAGCTGAATTTAAAGTATGCAAAGTAAAGAGTCACAAAAACATGACGACCCTTTTTTCGTAAAAAAATACTGGTGCATTTCCTTTACTTCTCCCACACACTATGGGACCCTCAGCAAGCCTGTTGTGCTCCACGAACCTGGCACAAGTTCAGCGTAGTGGCTGTTGGGCCCTTTGAGCTGCTATTCAGCTGCCTGGCACTCGCAGCTGGCTCTGCATCAGGTGCCGAGTTACAGACAAAACATTGTTCTTGAAGCACACTCAGGTCTGCAATTTGACATGAGCATAAAGAGCAATGTTGTTATGAGAAAGAAGAGTTGGGGGCTTGCCAAGCTGACCAACGTGTCCTACTCAGCAGACTAATAGGGAGCTTCACTGGACAGACCCCAAGACAAACCACCGCCAGATTTCCTGCACCACATATTTCAAGATGATTAAGTGCCCTGTTTGAATAGCTGTTACAAAACACATCAACCTGTTATATCTTGCACCATATCAGAAATACAGAAACTGGCTAACGCCCACTGCTTTTGCAAACAACCAAAGCATCAAAAGGATTTCAGTGAAATTTCAAAGTTGCTGAATTAAAGTAAGTTCAGGTTGCTCAAAACAGAGCAAAGTAAGATCCAATGGATGCTACGGAGGCCAAAGTTCCCTAACTGACAAAAGCGAGGCAGGTGGTATCTAAGAAAGTGCTTAAAACATCAAGTTTACCCTCCATCTCAGTGCCATGTGTGATAACCTCCATCTCAGTGCACTGATGCACTCCCACAATGCAGATCTAGCCACTTAACTGCCCGAAGTAGCGAGACGAACCACCAGTGTGTGTGGCTCCTGCAGAAGGCCACCTTCTCTTTTCCTTAAACAGGGGCAGCTAGTTTACCCCAGCCAGTCAAGCTGGATGCTGTTAGCACTCCAGCCATACGCTACGTGTCCAGGGTAACATTTAAAACAAAACCAAAAGAAACCCTCCAAAAGCCCATCAAGCATAGTTTAAGTCTGTATTACAATATCATGCAAGGCAAAAAAGTGTGTCCTCTAGGAGCCATACTGTCTAGAGCTAACACACAGCAGCCTGAGGCTTTAGTTAGAATCTCTCCAGCTGCAAGGTGCTATTTATCTGCATAAGGCAGGGTGGAAGGAGTTCGTTTCTCCCCAAAGCCAACATTTTCCTTTTGCAGCAGCAGTTTTCAGAATTGTGTGTAGGCCATATTTTAAATTGCTTGTATTGTCGATCTCCCAGTTGTTCAGCAAGCGAGAACAAGTATTTAGGCACTGAATTTGCCAATTGTGCCAGAGCCAAGAAAACAGACACCTTTTCAGTAGGACATGGAAGTGACCTCTTCCAGAAGCAACTGAGTAAGCATCACGAGGTCACAGTTTTTGCCCAAGTTACTGTTTGTGTATTTGCTGTAGTGTTACAAAACATTAAACAAAACGATCAATAAAGAGGGAGAATTTTCCTTACTACAAAGATGATGCCACAAACTGCTAGCCATCTGCGTAAACTGGATGCTGGCTTCCACTCAAACTTGACCCAGCTATATGGGGTGAACTGGAAGACAATTCTCTTCATTTTACCTCTGAAAGAGAACCAGAACATATTCTTACAACTTTAAGAAATGGTAGATAAGAGACATCTAACATTTTATTTCAGACAACAATTTAATTGCAAAATTAAGCTGTTTTGAACAAGCACTCTCTCAAGCAGCAGTCTGTATCTGCTTTAAGTCTTAGGTGTTACAGCTCATTGTAATAAGCAGTTCCTCAATTCTGCCTTGCTAAGCAAGAACAAGTTCCAAAACAAATGCTAGTTCACTGCTGGTAGAAGACCATAATGGATTTATTCAAATTTAAGCTTCAATAGCCCAATTACATTGAAGCCCTGATTACTGGTGAGCTCATTACTTGCAAAAAGGACTGAAAGTATCCCTGGGGTGAACAAAGGTGCCTGGTGCGCAGGCACCTGCGTTAATCTCCTCATTTCCACAAGACCCTCTCATTCCTAGATATCAGGCAATGCTGGTAACAGAAGGGTACATACATGCAGTAATAAACTGTTGGATATTTCAGTCATCACAACACACATGACTTTCCCAAGTCACATTAATCAAAACAGAGTAACATTTTAACAGCCTAGATCTTTAACAAGGGTTGTGCTACTGTTTGTGGAGCGACTCCTACATCAGCTTACTTATAGGTAGGAATGTTCCAAAGTCCTTGCCATTTGTATGTTTTCAATGAAAGCCAAGACAGAGTCTTCATCCCACAGTAAATTCCTAATCCGTTACATAAGATCACATCCATTATCCACTGGAAGGGAAAAGAAAATAAAGGTGACAAGTAACAAAGTTAAGCTCTAGAAAATGAAGTTACTGTTGAGCCACATACTTGCAGGCACACCCTTGGGGACAATACATGAGCATTCCCAGAGTATTGTTGGGTCAACAGTTTGGAGAAAGGATCTCAAACCAACTGGCTGCCCACCTCATGCACAGAATCAAAGCAGTGTATTAATTTCATTACAAGCTTTTTCTGAGGCAAACCAGACTTGCTCCTGGAGAAAGTCCTGCTGCTGCTCCTTTCTTTATAAAGCGGCATTTATCTCTGAATGTAACTATGTGGCAAAAAATTACAAGCTTACCAAAACTTGTACAGGAAGAAAACACATGAGTGTCTGCACACACAGGTGTATAAAAACAGCAGCAGGACCAGAGCTGCACATCCTGAACACACATCATTTTGACTGTTCAAATCAACTTATATAATAGAGGGGAAAAAAGCATGTCATTGTAAACTGGCTCTTTCCACAGACTAAATCACAGCAATCCCTCCAGCTTCAGGAAACATACAAACAGTATTTGGAGACAAGTGCAGTGACCATGCAAGCTCTTCCCTAGCACAAATATTTATCATTCCAAACAGCTTTTAGAAACCACACTAAAGCTCTTGAAGTCAAAATATTTACTGTTTTCAGAAAACAGTGAAGATCGGCTGACACGAAAGGGAAAGCTGAACATGAATCGCACTGAGCCTGTTTTCTTAATGAGCAAGAAGAAATCTGTGAAACCTGATACACAAAATTTTACATTTCTCAACTTCAAATTTTGTGGTTTAGAGTAAAGCTTTAGCTTCTCCCTCTGGTGTGGAGTGAATCTAAACAAATATTTCAGTGTGTACAATAAAGTTGCAATTCCACAGAGAAGTTAAGCAAACCTTAAGATTATGCACACACACAATGACAGAGTACAAGCTCAGAAAGGAGAAGCGCCCACACGCCAGGTCACAGTGGCTGTACATGTATTTTGGGCTAAATGCATGCTGTATAATTCAGATTTCACCATTTCCTGCCCTCCTACCCCCTAAAATACATACTTCAGTTTATATAAATATATCTGGTGCAGTACATACGTGATCCCACCAACATTCGCTGAAGTTTGGAAGCTGGTGTTCCAGACTGTATTCCAGAAATTCAAACATGACACTGATGATCATGCACATCCACCAGTCTCGAATCATTAATGTCTATACAAAGGGGGGAAAAAGTCTGCAACAGTTACGAAACACACTAAAAATCATTACAAAAATGAATGCTTCCCTGCCGAGTAGGACCAGACACCAGTTACATTAGCGTTCCTTTAGAAAAAGGAAGGAGAACACCACAAACTACAGAAACACATGGCAGATTTAGTTTCCTCAGTGTAGTAGGGACAAATTATTATGCCTTTTTCTAGTTTGAAGAACGATTGCATGTGGAAAAGGAGTTTAATCCTTCATGGCTTTGAACACCACGGGCATACATGGTTACCAGTTACTTCTACAGCTGAAGATTGTCTCCAGTCCCAAACCTGACATATCATCCTAGCCTACTGCCAAAATGTGCAAGGAGATTATAGTAACACCCTACTTCATATTTGCAAGTGGATAAGAGCACAAAGTCAGCTAGTGCATCTATACCGCTGTACTGGAACTCAGCTCTGGACCACACACCAACTGTTGACTTTTTATAGAAAAAAGTTAATTGGCAGAAAAAAAAAATGAAGCAGACAGCTTCTTCTATCCCAGCAGCATAGAAATTATATAAAAAAAGAAAAAAATAGAGAACACAACTGAAATTGTATTTTGATATCTAACGTAAGTGGCTTGGATACAGAAAATTCAAGTATCTCTAAATTTACCATTAAATATACCTAAGTTCACCTGAAGTCAAAGCCTTCCCATGCTGGGTGCACTCTTTTTTGTCCTTGACCAAAAGATAATGAAAATTAAAAAATACATATTTAGCACTGCATCTGTACCAAAAAATAAATGGATACAAAGCAAAAGCCATAACTGTCTTGAAAGCAGGCTCTGCCTTTTACTTTGAAAGTATAAAAGCACTGCAACAGAAAGGCATCAGAAGAGCAATCCTTACTTTTAGGTACCAGCCAAAAAAGTGAGCAGGAACAAAACCATCCAGTTTGTCCTATAAACCAAGAAGAGAAAGCAGGTCACTTTGCCCTGTAAGTGATTACACATGCTTGAGGCTTAATTGTTTCCCAGGAAAAAGGAAGCAATAAGCTTAATTTCACATATAAATACTGGATGCATTATGTTCTCAAATACAGCAAACGAGTTATCTTTAAAGCAAAGTCAGAAAGCTTAAGGGGTAGAAACTGGAGTTAGGATTATAAAGCTGAAACTAGCTTTTAAATTTTAGTGTAATTTTCCTTATCTTCCAAGTGGCAATAAGGGGACAGAAGCAGAACACGTTCAAGCCAGACATAACAGGGCAAGAACATATATTTCACCATCACACCACCCTGTTTTATCTAGTGGGGCTTCTTAAATCTCATCCGTTCTGCCAACAAATACCCATGTCTTTCTTCCTCCTAGTGCTGGTTCAGTGCTAGGAGAGGGCAGCTATTATCGTTTGCAGTTTTTCTCAGGTATTCCTGAAGGTTGGATGGTAGCCCCTAGGAATTCAGGGCTCCTCACTACATATGCACTAACAATTCCATGGCATTATGAAGTGGTAGGAAAGTAAACCCAATTCCTCTGCCCTTAAGTTTCAAGCCTTTTGTTTGCCAGCTTTAAACAATACCCTGGTAGTTTGTGATATCCCCAGCCTAGGTTCAAGAAAGTGCAATTGATGGGTTGCTTGGCAATATGCTAAAAACATTCAAACTTTGTGCCTCTACGTGACTGCGAGCAGAAAATGCCCTAAGCACGCAAAGAAATCCAAGGTGTTGGGGGAAATGGTTTACATCCATAAACCAAGAAACAAGGGTAGTTAAACAAGGGTAGTTAAACAATTCACTCTCCTTTTCTGGCAATGTAATTAAAGTACAGAGACACCTCTCCCTTTGATCAACAGAAAAGGTCAACAGAAGAGAAATAAGGAAGCTAGAGGCTGAAACTGAAGCAGCAAGCATAGTCAAGATGTTTCCTGATTTAACACTCAGACACACATGACTGCCGTCTAGAGAGTTCAATTAAGCAACATTTTACCAAAAAACGGTATTTGCTCTCTTTAACTTTGCCTTTTTTTGAATGTTGTTTCTTACCCAGATATTGTGAAGCGGATCAGTTTCATTGCCGGGATCATAGATAAGGCAGTTGCCACCGTAGTCTCTTTCTGGCAAGGGAACACCTAAATTCGGATCAATGTACTTCATAAACTGTCTGCCATCTTGTACAGTCTGCAGAAGGAAGACAAAAACCCGTCTTTCTTATACTCTTAGCAAGTATTAATAGACAGAAAAGTATGACAAGTTTTATCAACAGCTTATCTTCAAAAGGATTTTTTTTTTCCAAATCTATGTTGCAAAAAAGTTCTTGAAATACAGCTGAAAGTCCAGTGACAACATAGAGTACACACTTGTCTTCCTGGGCCTCTAATGCTAAATATTAAGGAAATAAGTGGCTACAGAACAAACTTAGGATTCCCTAAATAAGAAAAATTGAAGTTGCTCATCTGTCTGTCCTCCCTCACAAAAGCCAGCAGCACCCTGGAAGTGATGCACTATTCACCCTTCTCACTGCCCCTCTTGCCTTGTTCCTCCCCTCCTTGAGGCTCGGTGAGCACAAGGAAACAGCAGCTAAAACTTAGGAAAGGCTCATTCTTAGCAGCTGCATCTCCTACCTCAGTGACCTTGGGGTTTCCTAGAATGGGAGACGTCCAGCAGCGCTTGAGACGTGCAGCTGGAAAGTAAATGCAGGAGGTGCAACCCTCAGCAGACTGAGCACACAGCGTCATGCACTGGGAGCGGGATCAGTGGTGCACGTGTGCTCAGCTCCCTTCTGCTGCACAAACAGCTGCACTACATTTCAAGGCAGAAAAATAATAAATAGTGCAGAGCTCTGAATAAAGAGCATCTCCAAGCTAAGGTCCCAATAGCTGTAGAGGTGATAAACTGGAAGCAAACAGCAGGGAAGAAATTGCCAAAATACCAGTTACAAAAAAAAGAGGCCAAAGCTTGAACTGGAACTCACACACATACGTTTGCCGAATAAATATTTCCTAACAAAAACCCACGCTGTTGGGATCAATGTTTTATAGCAGAAGCAATGCAGCATCTATGGCAGAAAGGGAGCAGCTAACAAACAGGAGGACAAGAAAGGATAGAAAAGCAGAGCACGGGCAAAATCAGTCAATGACAAAAAAATATTGAATAAAAACTACTGAAGTCATGTTAAGACATTTCAGCTATATGGACAAGCTGGTATTTGCTTTTGTCACTTAGAAATCCACCATGATTTTAACCTGACTTGGACCTGTGCTAAGTAATATGTGTTTTCAGTAAAAAAATCGGGCAACAGCTAGAAGTGACCTTAACAACTAAATGGTTGCACACACTGCCAGAGGAAATTAAAGCAATTCCAGCACTAGGAAAACAAAATGAAGCACATTATTCATTTTGACCGCAATTTCTCAGGAGTATCAATGATGCCTGGAAAAAGAAAATATATGACGTGAGACATTAGGGCCTGAGCATTGGCACTGAACCCCCCGAGATATATCAACAGGACAGAACATATCTTCCTCTACGACTGTCCTGTTGACATGTTCTGAACCACGTGTGGACACATTTGATATCATAAGCCAGGCAAAATAAAAGTGTTGGCTTTGTTTTCTTAAAGGAAGTTCGCCCTGATTTTTAGGGAGGCTCAAGTAAAAAAAGAAAGTCAAGCCAAAAAAAATGCTATTTGAGATCAGGCTGGGAAGGTTTGATCAGTATTAACAACATATTTGTGAAGTAAATATAGTCCAGAAGGAAGACAGATGATGGTTCCTGATGCTTCTGAATTCTAGCCACGCTTCTGCAAGCCCTCTCTTGGCACTCAAACTTTATTTGCAGCCATATGACGATGATCCATATGATGTGCAATGGCTGTGTTAATAACATCAGGTTTACTGCTCTTGTTTATCGCAAAATATATGACGCCTCATCCGCTGGGTTTCCGAGAAGTCATTTATTTGTAAAAGCCAGCAGAACATTCTCGGTTTAGAGAAGGACAAGAACGCAGTTAGAGAATAGGGTGCTTTATGTGCAAGTGCTGACAGTATGTCTAGAAAGATATCATCCTCCATTTGCTGTCATTATAGAGAGTGGTGTGCATGATTTCCCTTTATTGCAGAGAAAAATGTTTAAAACAGCCATCACCCAAGCACAAAGTATCTCAAAATATTAAACATGATAAATTCACTTCACGCTCCATGTAATCTGAGAGACTAACAGTTGATCTCCAATTTTAGCAAGTCAAATGAAGCCCAACAGAACAGAGGCTGAGCACCAAAAGCACCAATTCCTGGCCACTGATTACTTTCCTTATCTCACTTAGGAGAGCCTCACAGTGGGATGCTATCTGCACTGAGATTCACTGGAGGTTAGGAGAGACAGCAAGGAAGAATATTTTTATATCATCATTTTCTTCAAACTACCAGTCTCAAGAAGCATAATGATTTCCTATCAAAAAAATGAAGGAAGAACAACTCCTGTGTAAGCAGGGAGATTTCTAAGGAACAATCCAGAGGATTTTATATCCACATTAGAGCTCTAGTTACTAAAAAGGTGGTTTATGTTACTTACCTGAAAGAGTATAAAGATGAGGAAGAGTTCATATACAACGCTGACGCAAAGCCAAAACCTCCAGTAAGCTACAGAAACAGACAAATGGGACATTAGGGAGGCTTCCAGTAAAACAGCTGTCAATTATTCATTTACTGTAATGCAACCAAACACTTCAAGATGCCCTGAACAAAAAATTATAAAGCCCAGGACTGTACTCAAGCAAAGTATGCGCCATCCTTTCTAATGGAGCACAACCATAAGGGCTCTGTAATCATCCTTCAAGTAGGTTACATTTTCCAGCACTGCCCAGGCAATTTCTCACTCCTCCATTCCAGAACACAGGGACCCACAGGAATGTTTCAACCCAGTGAACTGAATATTGAAGAACCAGAGGGAGAGATGTGTGCTATTTGCAAGGTTTCCAGCAGTGTTAGGAAGGAAACCATTCCCTTTCTGAAGGAATCTAAACTTCCTTTTCTGTCTTGTTTGCACACTTCATCTGCCCAGCTTTGGTTTTCCCAGCCCTCTTGCAGCTCACCTGCTTGGCCAACTTCTACCTATATCTTGCTAAGGCAGGATGAAGACCAAGAGGAGGAACGACCACTTTTACATGAAAAACATCATGGAACACTCAGCTGCTTGACAGTCTCCAGGTATTTTTCACCCTCCCAAGACATGAAATTTTAGCTCTTCACGTGCCTGAGCAACACCTGAATCCAAATATTACACAAAATATCTGTACACTTCCAGCTCCATCACCGCCATTGCCATTTCTTTGGTAGGTGCAGTGTCCTGGATATTTTTTTGTCCATGTTCTGAATTCCTGCCAATATTCCCTCTGACACTGGCCTGGCCTCTGTTCAGTAAATGGGGTGAACACTCTGAACTCTTGTCCGGGGTCCTATTAACCCTGGAGAAGAGGCAGCAGGCTAATGCAGAGCCAGCACACGTACAGGGAGCGCTCTCCCATCTCTTCCTAACCACATTCAAGAACTCACACAGGTTAATTCAGGCAAACCTGACTCATTTTAAGTAGGCTTTTAAATCTCTCAGCAACATCATGTACTAATCGCTTAGGAATGACTTTAATGGACTTTTTGGAGGTGTTTCCTGTTTGTACTTATAAAACAGTTCCTCTGTGTTTACACATAGTTGAGAGTAGAGAAAACAAGATGGTCACTGTTCAGCTGAGCAGGGCTGGGCAGCTATTCCACTTCCACGGAATAGGGTTTGTCATTTAAATAATAAAATTTGTCATTTAAAACAAAAGCAACAATAATTAAAAATAAAGAGCAAACTTCAGGCTCAACGTTAGCATCTAGTTCTACTAACTAGAAGGCCACTTAGCTGCGTGAATGTCAAAAGTGAGGACCATGACATAAGTCACACAAGAGTTTGACACTAGCTCCCATCTTGCGACCGTAGTTGGGATCAGCTCAGAACCCGAAATCGCCTAGATGTGGTATCACACCCTGCAGCACAGACTTGCTCATCCTCTTGAAAAGCAAGAAAAATAAATAAATAATTGCAATCTTTGCCCAATCAGCCTTACTTCAGAGAAAGACAGAATCTCCATATTTCTCAACTAGCAGCCCACTTCTGACACCAGCATTAAAAAACTCAAGTGTGAGAGGATGTAGCTGCCTCCAATAAAACTGCTAAATTAATCTCTGCAAAACAGTCTACTTTCCACTTTCAGAGAAAAACAGCTGTGCCCTGGATAACAGACAGTCCAGCACTCTGAATGGAACAGCTTTTGCTGGAGTTTGGGCACTTCAAAATTTTTACTTGCAGTTTACAAACACAATTGTCATTTCTTAATCACACAAGAGAATAAAGTGTCTTAATAGGGCACGGTCAATTAAAAAGAGTCTTCTAAACACATGCTACATGCTGCACAAAAATCATTTTGCAATTCCGGTTGCTCTTGGTGGATTGCCACTAGCTTTTCCACCAAGTTACCCTAATTAGCCTGATGATTCCTTTTAGAGCCATTTCTTAGGTTGCTGAAGCATCACCTGCACATCAAACTTTGCCCCCAGGCATTCATAAGCAAAGATTAACATAGCTTGCAGAAAAGATAATGTGAAGTAAAAACAAACTCCTCCAATAAAAGCCTGAACAGCTTCTAAGCAAGGAGAACTGCTAATTCCAACAGCTCTTTGGTGAACAGCTAGGCTAGGAAAGCCTCGTTTTCTAAAGATCTGGCTTTGTCCCTTGACTTCCTCTAGCGAAAGAAAAGTTGGGTTCAGTCCCTCTTCTCCTCAGTGGGGCAAGAATTCAAGCCTCTGTTCAGCTGCCTACTACACAAAAGGGGTAGCAACAGCTTTTAAGACTTCTGTCATTCTTTCAGGTTTGAGTGACTTTCAAATTCCCTGGCAAATCTCACTAGGAAGGACTGGCTGAGCACATATATCCTGCTGTCTTTGCAGGATGCAGTTCAGAAACCATCCCCAAAAAGCTCCACTGGCCACAGCTCTACTCAGAAGAGAAAAACTTCTCCCTAGACTAGCAACTGAAACGTCCACAAGCCAGTCTGCAGGACAGAAATACTGTAGTGGCATTTTTAATAAAAAAGGATTTATAAAGTTGTTCATTTGATAAGACATTTGCTACATATCACTATACTGACTGCATAAACACTCTGCTCAAGCCAGAAAAATTAGTCTTTCATTAACCCACTTCTCCCACAGGAATTTAGTTTTAATCCCTTGCCACAGCAACTTCAGTCTCACAGCCTTAACAAGGCTGTTATCCCCTGCTCTCCTAACAACTTGCAAGACAAAACTTACACTGTTCTCAACCATAAATGTGTTATGTTCTGAAGCTGATGTACAGCTCAGGCACCAGAAGGATCTAAATCAGAACCTGAGCTTCTTTCTTCTCCCATATACACACACAGGGTTCTGTCAACAGATGATCTGCAGCTGCTGAGCACATTGAGCAGTACTTACTGAAGTAAAACATTTAATGAAAATTTGAGATCTGGTGCTAATTTAGGTGCTTTCTCCTCAGCAGACATAAGCACCCAAGAGGTTCAAAGATCACTTTATAGCTTTACGACCTACCTATACACTAGAAACAAGATGTTTCCAAAGCTGTACAAACATTGTGTTCTCTTCCCAGCCCTGCCTCAGCTTTAACTATAAAGCTATTTTGGGCAGAACTCTTATTTATTTTTCTTAAAGGTACTTGTCACCAAGAACCTCCCTCAAAGTAGGGCTGTTTTCCTGATTAAGGAGGCCTCAAGTAATCATTTACATGCCTAAGAGTTTAGGGATTGCTATGCTCAGAGGGTAAATCACTGTCATTGTAGGGGGACCGAGAGCAGAAGGGAACACTTAGCAAGAAAGCCTGTAACTGGCCACCTACCTGTGCTTATCAAAAGAGGCTTGGATTTGACCTATGCAGCCTAAAGGGCTACAAAGGACAAAAAAGGAAAAAACACACCAACAAAACAAACACATCCTAAGTTATTTGTCTGAACTGACCACTAATCCTGGAACTATTCTTGGAGCTATTCAGTGGGTGGAAGCCCAGAGTGCTAATCAGACATTGCAGGGCACGCACATGGAGAACAAACTACAGATCAGTACACGCCAGCAAACGCCTGCCTGAAGACCTGCTAGAGGCTGCAAGATTTTCCATGCCAGCTCAGGTTCAGAAGCACCACCTGTGGCCTGGCAGTTGCAAAGTCACTAGAAGATGGGACAATTGGTGAAAAAGCAAGCAGTTTGTAGGGACCGAGAGACAACCAAAAAAAAAACAAAAAACAAAAAACCAAAAAACATGCACAAAAGTAATAAGCGCTGTGTAATTAATAAGCCTAGGGCTTACTTAAGAATTCAGCAGTTTACTCTCAAAACCACTTACGCTGTCAGGCAAGACACACTAAGTCAAAATAACTGTTGACAAAGGTTGTGAAGGTTAAGAGTTACTTTTTAGGGCTGCCATGGAAAACCTCATTAAAATTACAGTGTAGGCAGCCTCTCCTGACAAAGGCAATAATGTACCACTGATCTCTTACAGACCACAGAATAAGCAGATCATTTGGATGTTCAAGGCTCCTCAAAGCTCACTGATGAAAAGAATCAGGAATATCTCTTTTTGCACAAACTGAAGAGACAAAAGACTGACAGCCTTTATACATGATTAAATCAAGTACAAAATGCATTATTTTCTCCAAATTCGGTGTCTGAACAGCAGTTAAGGGATCCTCAAGCAAAATTTAAGATTTGTCCCCTCATGAATGATTGTTCCTTGGGAACAAGGGCACCTTGTGCTGGATGGTTTGGATGCTGTTTACATCTTGTTGAGGCACAAAGAGGCACTGCTGAAGCAGAATGGGAGCAGCATGGAAGAGTTCAGACTACCATCGTGCATTTAGGGTCCATAAGCTTTCTTATACGATGGGAACTCTTCAGCTAAAATGGTTTGGGTATTATCTGTCACACACTGAGCTACCACTGCAGCACAGCCACAGAAAGTAAGTACTTGCAATATTAAGACACAGCGATCAAGGTACTGATGGAGAGAGGGGAAACATTAATGCCATCATAAAAAACATAAGCAGCAACACTTCTGCAATATCCTGTACAGGTCTGGACAGCCATTTTCCAAGATAATTTGAAATAAGACAGATAGAGAGAAGGACTAGTAAAATTTTATAGGGAAAGTAAGCATAATTTCTTGCTTTAGCAAAACCAATGGTGAGATGGCACTGTTGATGTAGGATATAAGACATCTATAAACTGGTCACTAACAGGTATAGATAGAATGAGGAGGCTCCAAACCAGAGAGGGGCTCCACAGGAAGCCAACAGAAGCAAGCCATGAAACCCAACTAGGAAGATACAGCTTGAAGAATTCATGAAACAGATCTGATGGGGCTGGATGTGACCATAGTGACTGGACTCTGACCCAGAGGCTTCTTTCTGCCCTACAAATGGGAGCAGCACACCAGCAGACTGCTGTTAATTATTTAGAGATGGGACCTGTCTCTAGGAACAGCACCAAGGAACAGGTCAGAGACTCATTTTCCACATGTGCACTGCCCAACACACCCCTGCACAGTGCACGGCCCCTGGAGAGCTGACGCCAGGTCCCACAGGGCTGCAGTGGCGGGTGCCTGCAAGAGCCTTGCCAGGGGAAAGGTGGGCAGAAAGAGCACGCTCTCTCTTAAAGACGCACCAGACACCTTGCTGTGACTGGCGAAGCAGCTGCTGCCCCAGAACTGCTCTGCTCCCCAAGAACCACTCCTCAGGAGACCATCACTCAAACAAACCAGAAGCTAAGATGACATTAATAGGAAAGACAACATTAGTATACGCAGTCTGCCTGTAAGAAGTACTGGAATTATTGGCTACTAATGTGCATTTGAGGATTTTAAGAAAAATTTCCCATATGCCAGAAATCAAAATTAACAATAATAGGAATGAGATATTGAAAATTACTACTTAACAAGACCTCAGAAACACAAACTTTTGAATAAAAGCTTACGTTTGCAGAGGTCTGCTGTGTACTTTGCTCTAGAAGAATCTCTGCTTTGATCATGGTTTTTAGCTTGTCTGCTGCTTCATATTCAAAGAGACCTTTTCTGCAGAGCTAAATTTTTATCATAAATAAAACTATTTTAAGTATTTCTTAACTGCAAGAGAACCTAATGCTTTCAAGAATATGATGCAAGTCTACATAAATCCTCTTAATTCTTCTCAATGATTCACAAGATCTAAAAATAGACAAAAGATCAAGTATATTAAAGTATTTTCATATTTCACTTGATGTAACACTACACAGAAGAGGGTTTATGTTGTGGTTTCAAACCCCTTCAAAAGCTGCAGTCTTACCATAAATCTTCGAAGTTTAATAAAGGGTTTCTAATCTAAGAGCTTTCATGGTAATGTGCCTACAGCAAAGGGAGCAACTGGATACTTCGTGAGAAATTCAGTCCCATTACACAGGAAGGAAAAAGACAGCATAAAAAAGTTAGGATTTCAAGAATCTGACATTTTGCATTAAACTTTGCTCTAATAACAGAAAGCCAGAACAGGGAGATTCAAAGAAATCCTATAGTACAAGTTGACTTATGAAAGCACAGAACAATCACTACACTGCTGTGAGTATTTCCAAATTTTAGGAGTCTCAAACCTGTGTGAAAACTAGAAGACTGCATGACATTTTCATAATCTTTAACTGATATTGTTACTTACCTCTTCTACAAGCAAGAAAGTTATATTCAGCATAAGTCATTCAGTTTATCAGAAATATTTGAGGAACTTAAGTGAATTTACCTGGATGAGGTCTTGAAAATGGTCCATCTTTAGCTTGTGTAACTCCAAAACATAAGAAAACCAAAATACTGGCAACGATACCTCTGAAAGTAAAAAACAAAAACTCTTTATATTGCTACTTCTTCCTAAGAAAATTGTGGATTATATTCTTGGATGTCAATAACGTCTGGTCTTTGTTTCTTAGCTACCAAGCATATCAGCCACGAAATAGCTTTCTTTGGGGGCTGTGGTTTCAAACTGGTGCAAACATCTAAACTTGGAGTGTGCTTGCACTCACTCTAAACCCCAAATCACCTGCTAGCCCTCTCCGTCCTTCCCCACTGATTTAAAGATTCCCACAGTCCTGACATCCTCGCTATCAGTGCCCAGCCAGCTGAACCCGGATTTGGATCTGAATGAAATGGAACAAGTAACCCCAACCCACATGATGATTCTTAGGTTTTAAAGGATGGTTTACTGATCACCCAAGAAATGTATAATGAGGCAAACATCATCTTATACCTTTAACAAGCTCTCATACTTGGTATTCCTGCAAAACTGAATAAATCCAGCAGAGAAATCCAGAGAAAAAGCCTAATAATTCCACCTTGATTTAGCAAAATCTGTTACATACCAGCAGACCGTCTTTAGATAGACAGTACTGGCACCAATTAGCAAAGAAAAGACACAACACAGTTTGGGACCTGCTAAGCACAAAGCAGCAACATCAGACTATTTATGCTTTAAACATTTCAAACACTTCTTCCAATGCAGAAAATATGAGAATTGCTGACAACCATTTTGCAACTTCACCTCGAAGTTGTGCTTCATGAAAATAAAAATTGATTTTAACAGATAAGCCAGTTTTGCTTGCTTTCTGTTGTACAACACAATTAGCTACCTGTAACAGATAGTTCCATCATGATTTTCCAAAATGAAGATGCCCAAAAAGTTTTCAGCTGTTCTCAAATAATGAGAACATTCTGCATTTTGAGTCACTGCTCTGTATTGGAAATAACAGGACTATGAAGGCATATTTGAACTGAACAGGTTGCAATCTGTCTCATGCAAGAACACACAACACTGCTCACTGTCATTATGCTCAACCACAAACCGAGATGTCTGAGGTCTTCCCCTCTGCAAGGATAATTTTCCCATAGTTGGCGATGACCTGAATCAAAATCACCAAGAGAACTTAGTTACATTCCTTTCTCCACATCCACTGACAAGACTCACACTAAAATAAGCTATGGTTTCAGCTACATGATTTGACTTTAAGTTCACTGTGGGAAGTTTTGAAGAAAAGCATGATGTTGCATAGCATCCACGCCAGCTCCCTAACTTTTGTTCTTCCTGTAATGACTAAATTTCTCCCCTTAACATCAACATACTGCCTCCTTTATGAAGCTTTCAAAGGCTCACCTGCATCTTGTCCTGCTGGCTCACCATGCCTTGGGATAAGAGCTGCAGGAGGATTTGAAAGGGGTACAAGGCTTATTTCAAGCTATCCTTGCAGACAGCCTGTGTGGACATGGACAACATTTTCTTGAGGAGTATGTCAGGAATATGCTGTATAGTAAAAGGTCTACAAAAATATTTTTAGCACTCAGCCAAGCCAGCAAACAGAACACGGAAACTGTTCTGTTTTTTACAAATGAGCTATTGTTTGTGTTATTTAAAAGACTTGATTCAGAGACACAAAACAACAAATCTGTCTATGAGCATCTGTATATCACCCTTTGTCCTACGGTTTTAACTGCACAGCCCTTGTTTCCTGTGCTTTCTCCAGCTGTATCTGCATTGGCCTGACTGGCACAATCCCCTCGATGAATTGAGGGCTGAAGGCTGGCTTAGCCTCCCTGTTATCTTACCTTTCTGAAGGCCTGGGTCAACTTGAAAATACACATATACCTATCTGGTTACCAGGACTAAATGCAGTGATCAGTCATTTTGGAAAACTGGCGTAGAAAGGTGTCTTAGAAGAGATACTTTGTCAAATTTCATGTAATATCTCCACCCTTATACATACAGGCTTTTTTTTTAAAAAAAAACAAAACAAAACAAAACTTGAATGCATTTTTCATCTCAAAATCATGTTCTAAATAAAGTTTCAGTGTGTGCATCATTTCTCCTAAAATTCAAGAATCCTGCTGCATGAATTTGGCCACCTCTCCTCAGCTGAGCTGCCCCTCACTGGAGGAAGCACCTTCATAGGAAATGAGAAGGTAGTAGCTTCAGACGATGACTACCACATTAGCCAGGCCAGGAAACACAGTGACACCAGATAGCACAGCAATTTGTATATTTTGCTGCTATTACTTTTTCCCCAAGTACCTAGCACAGCTTACAGGCATTGTGGCACCCCTCAAGAGCTTGAAAACAGAGGTTTAAGTGTTTGCAAGTGTTGGTTTAGACTCCATACCTAAGGACTGACACACTGCTCCACTGTCATTGTGCAGTAGTTGGAAATAAAAAGGCAGGACAGCCAGAAACACTGCTGATGGTATGAGCTGTAATAGAACAGCTGATGGTCATTAAGCAGGCAAGTGTTCCCATGAAGTATTTGCAGAGAGCAAGGACCTCAAACAGGCCAAAATTTTAAGATGACAGCACGACAGTGCAACATTAAGACTGAAAAATGTCTTAGGGCAGAAGAATTAAGTCATACATATGGAATTTTTTTGGTGAAAGCTGAGGATATGGGTATACGTATGCATACTGTGACCATCTTACTCCTGCTCAGAAAAGCCCTTTTTGTTCAAAAACTAGTCAGGAGTAGCAGAGAAGCAGAATCCAAAAGAAGGTAAAAAATAACAACAGTCAGAAAAGAAACAGAGTCAAAATCCTTCATGATTAATGGTGCTACATTCAGCAAATCTCTTTTCCCAAAGACTTTAGAAAAGACATTTAAGTGACCATAGATAGGAGTTCACTGAAAATTGACTTAGAACAAGGCGTGTGCTGTGTTAGCACAGACAATCCTCCCATCTCATAAACCAGATCTAAGGCAATAAAGGTAGTGCTTAGGAAAGGCACATAGAACCTGTGTTCTGCATGCACTGATTTATACCTTAGATTAAATAACACTTTGGCAACAGCTATCTCTGATCCCCTAGTCTCTGCAGGGCAGAAATTGAAGTGGTAAAAGGCCAGGAAGCTGCATACCAGATTGTAGATTAAAATTTAAGCAAACTGTTAATTTCTCCCCCAAAATAAATGCCAATGCTGAACATGTTAGTTTCCAGACTTCTCCTATGGAAGCACAGCTAGCCAGAACATGTCTATCATTCACTCAAGATGAAACAGTTCTCCAACATAAAACACATTCAATTAACTCTTCTGTGAGAATGCCAAAATACAGCATGTGGCTAGAGTGAGTATGGGTAGAGCACAAAGACAGAGCATGAGTGGAAACAGAGACATATCTTGAAAAGTAGAGATCTCATATCAAATCAGTATTTGGAAGATCTTATAAGATTTCCAGAAGGCTTTTTTCAGGTATTTTTGCAGCTAGATGTGGCATGCAGCATTGTACAAGCAGTGACACCAAGACATCAGAGAACATTCACTACTCGCGACCTAGTACGATGCTGCTAAACTTAACAGCTGGAAATGCTCTTCTCTGGATCAAACTTGCAGAAAGCAACATTTATCTCATGAAAGAAAGGTTGATCTGATAGCTAATCTTCTTTAGTTTTTATTAAAGCCATAATGGTTCTAATCTCAAAATAGGATATTCCACTGAATCACCTTATTACACACCTATAACATCCCCTAATGAAGGGTCATCACTTCTCTTTCAGCTTTTCCCTTCTTTGTTTTAAATTGCCCTGTCACACCTCCATCTATTGCCTAGGCACTCTCACTGCCGTAACTAGGAATAAAATGGCGTTTGCTCACACAAATATCTTGGAAATTTTCTCAGCTCCAGACAAGCTCTACGTTCCAATCTGTTCCATTTTACACCCACTCATAAGAAGCAAATCTTCTGTTCTGCACACATGTACAAGTGTGAATTACATTAGCTACATCTGTTGTGTAATTGATAGAATAATAACCAAGGTTATCTCAGAAAATACCCCAATTCTGCATCGCCATGATGATAGGTGTTATATCCTAAGAAACTTAAAAAGGAAAAGGGAAAAAAAGTGGGAAAAACCTTTAACGGCAAGAGAAAAATTAGTCAGTGTTATATTTAAGAAACCAGACAGGGAGAAAACAATGATTTCCATGGTTAGGTGTCAGATACTTTGAAGCCTTTAAGTAACCCTTAATTCTTAAGGCTGAAGAAAGACTTGGCAGGGGACTATACAGGTGAGTAAAATCTTATTTCTTTGTAAAGAAGAGTCTGTTTAATCAGTTTAAATCAAAGTAGAAATGGAACATGCCACTAAGTCTTGTTTTTATTTTCCAAGAATTTCCTTTTGAGCTACAAATCCTCATGTTTATTTTCAACCCAAATCTGCATCAAAATCTCAAACATGATTTTACCTAAATAGTAAAGTCAGAAAAAAAAAAGACATAATTTAGACTCCAATTATTTTAAGAAAGAGCCAGAATGGTCACCAAACACCCAGTAATTTGAAGGAGTTTCGTGTTCGGTTAAGTCACACGCACAGCCTATTTATGACACCGTGAACATTAAACTGATTAGAAATTAAATTCAAAGACCAGTAGCAAAGAGGCTTAAATATTAAGTCTGGTCTTCTCAGTTTCTAAGGGTTTGGGCATACAAACAAGTTAACGCCAGGTCATTTTAGGTAGCTTTTCCACAGAGTAAAAGCATGAACGCAGGCAGTTTCCAGAGCTCCTATTATATTGTACATTTGTACCTTAGCTTACCAGGAGGCAATGTGACCACACAGCTACTCATTACTGCTATGCACCATACAGGAACAGGTTCTCAGGTAGCGTTTACCTCTTTGTATTGTAGGCTGTATCTTGGGGTGTTTCTTCAAACAAGGTTACGTATCCCAAAGCACAGGTGAGGATGAACAAGACTGTTAAGGTGTGAGCTCTCCTAGAATTTAGAAGGAAGAAAATTAAAAAACAGAAAGCAAAAAATGGCAGTCTTTACTTGGATGTGGGAAGCCTCAGCAAGGTCACTATCTAAACCAGAGACAATTTCATATTTTCCAGACACGGTAGATTTATCTGTAGCGTTTGACACAAAAAATAAAGAAATTAGTGTTTGCCCTAAACTTGGTCATCAGTGAATCACTCCCAAGCATGCGACAGAAGCCTATTGTAATTAGATATCTTGCTCATTTTCTTCTCAGTTCAACTTAATTTGTACAAACACTTGCCCAAGAAACAACAGAAATGAAAAATAATGATACCAATTGTACTAACAGAGATCTCAAGAAAAGTAAAAAGTCTCTCCACATTTATCAGATATATTTAAAGGTACTCAAAGCACAAATTCATTACATAGACTATTGACAACAGAAACAGCAGCAGGCTGCATACACTCTTTTCTTATTTCTATTAATTCTTACAGTTTCATTTCATCTTACATCTGAATAGCAAGCTCTAACTGAACACTAGAAGTTTGTGTCAGCAAAATTGCACATGAAAGCTTGCCTGGCTTAGGGGGCTGTTCTACCACCCTGTGAAAATGTACAGCCTTGCTGGCCTGACATGCTGGGCAGAGAAAGCACAGCTAGACTGCATGCAGTAAGAGTTCTCACTGCCTCATCTACAAGAGCTCGCTCACTTACACGAATATTGTCAAAGCACAATGAAACTAAAGATCAAGTGAGTAGATGTGGACCCAGGAGCTCAGAAGAGATCTTCCTGCAGGCTTGTTGAGCTGCATAAAGAAATACTTACTAATTATGCAAAAGACAATATTCTTATAAGGCAGCATTTTTTTTTAAGTTGAAAACCCCTTTCATAACAAAGAACATTTCACTATTTTCAGCTGAAAACTCTGACCTGACCTCAGCTCAGAAGCAAAAGCAGAGGAAGTCTAGTCATTTAAGATCCAAACAAAGACCAAGCTGTTTTAGAGGGCTACTCCATACTCTTAATACAAATCATTAAATATTACAGGTGTAAAACATCAAGCTTAGAGAACAGAAGAGAGCAAATGAGAATTACTCTAAGTGGCAAGTATGGGCACATATTTGCTAGTCCCACATTTTTATATTATAGCATAACACCAGCTACTATTCCATTTCTATTTTATAACAAAAAAGCAAGTTCATTTCCTCAAGTCATATAGTTAGTGGCAAATCAAAGCTCACCATGCATTTCTGAGAAGTCCACTTGCTATCTCTAAATAAACCCAATAATCAACCTAAAAATCACTCTGAAAGATAAAGTAAGCATTAGTTTGTGCAGCAATTTGAAGTTCATTCTAATCCAAAATATAACCAGCTCTCAGCATCCTTTTAATCCCACTGGAAGACACATGCAATACCTCATAAGCAGATGCAATCCTCTTGGGCAACCGATAGAAAGGCATTCGGTATTTAACACTGTCCTTCCTTGCAGTCCAGAGGACAGGGACCAAGAAACTCCACAAAGCAGAAAAACACACCCATAGGAATATTTTCAAAACTAGCACAGCTTCCCCATGTCAAAAAAACACTCAGGGACTTCACAGAAAGCTGCCTGCTCCACGGATGCATTTTCCCTTCAACTTGCTTCACAGGATGCCAAATAACAGGTGATTCAGCCATCACATACTTAACATTCATTTAACCATCACATGACTCGACGCCTATTTGGTAACCTGACAGGAGCTGAAAAACTAGATACAGCCCTTTCTTAAAGGATACTGGGTGATGGGGAATTGAAGCCAAGGGTCTAAATTCACTTGCCTCAGACTGTGGTCTCCTAATTACTACATGCAGCTGTATGTAATTAATAGAAAAGCACCTGTTTTTGATCACAGAAAGATGCTGCATCAACTACAAGGTAATGCAGTTTGTTTCATACCTTGTTTTGTTATTTACTTTTTAAAAATGAGTATCTAAGAGGACACTTAAATCTAGGAATAGTCAATCTGCACACATATACTAAGCCAATTAGTTCTCCTGTCTGTTTAGTCCTGTAAATTGCCAAAAAAGTTAACAGCATGGCCTCACTTTGATAAACACGCCTAGAAATTCATCTACTCAAGCACAGTGGTGATCCAGCTTTATTCTTCTCTGTGGTGGGGCTATAGTAAGGTGAATATGCAGGGTGGGAGAGCTTCACGCACCCCATCTTTGGTCTGTTTTTGATGCTACAATCCTCAGCCTGAAATGCAGCAAGTTTCCCTGTTTGATAAGAAACAAGGAGCTGCATATCATTCCCTCATTCCATTTTCGCCAAGTCTTCACTGGCAAGCAGAGAAATATTTCCTCATAGGAGATTTTCAAGATGCTTAGTCATGTAAATGTATTTTCAGTACTATGTGATGTTCAGGAAGCAGAATGAAAGACTTCACAGCCTGGCTTCTCTTCTGGAAACGGCAAGTTAACAACCCTAGCCAAAAAACACTAATGGTGACATAGTTATTTTCCACATGCACTCTAAAGGGATACATCAAGGGGAAGGTGATGCTGTGGATGTTCTTGGCTGCAAGGTAAGCACTAAGGGAATTAGGCAGAAAGGCTTATGTTCTCCTACCTTGGAGTCTTTGGAGACTGAAAGGAGCTAAGCCGAGTAGAGCACATATCTTCTCCATGAAATTCCAAGAGAACTTGGGCTGTATACCAAAGGCAAGGAGTACAAACTCCTTGATTTTGTGGGGGAAAAAAACTTCTGATGTTTTCATGTGAAAAATCTCCAAAACGATGCTTAAGAGAAATATACGTGCAATTATACATAGTGCCAGAAAAGTCAAAGAAAATTCTGAATAAAACCCAAACAAAAGTGTTGTTAGTGCAGAAAAGTTAATGTTACATTTTTCCATAGCTTATATCTAGCACTTTCTCCCATGCTACCTCTTTCTTCCGCTATATCCTAAAAGACAGTGGAGGCTTCTCCAGAAAATAAGATCAGTTCATTTTTAACTTTACTTTTTGGTGTTAATTGACTTTTCTTTCATATTGAGAAACATCAGCTTCTTCAAGAAACAATATCAGAACTTCTCTATTTCCTTCTTAATAAAAAGAATTTGGGGATTTTTTTAAAAACTTTTTTTTTTGAGAGAGAGAGAGAGGTTATTTTTCAGACAGATCCAGCTCTCTGAACTGGCATAGGCAGCAGAGCAGACAGGGCAGGCTGTATGACCTCCTTCAAACTGCCTAAGTAATTGGACCGCACCCTTCCTACCCATTTTTTTCCATTCAAGTCCTCATTTGTCACAGAGGATGCACCAACTACTTTAAAAACAATAACAGCTGTTGAGAAACACATGCAAAGGATTTCTTTCTTCCACCCTCACTCAAATGGTATATATTTTTGTGACTTCTCAAGAATAACAAAGCTCAAAAGAGCATGCATGCTGTGAACTATAAGAAAATATGATCAAGTATTCAACCATAACATAACCACCGCTTCACCATTCAGAACCAGACCACAGTCCTAAAAAAATGGCTAGTCTTTCAGGATAAAGAGAACAAGAGAATTGAATTTCCTTCAACAAGAAGGAAAATAAAACAAACAACCTTCAGTCATAATCTTAATAATACATCCCCAAAATAGAAACATGGGACTAATCTGTTCATGTCACACATGACTGAAAAGATCTCTGTCCATGAAGGCAAGGCAATTGTCAGCCTTTTTCAAAAATAGGAGCTCAAAAACTCAAGAGTTTTTTCAGTTCAAAAAAACACTGACACAAAACCTCAGGCCGATATGCAGTTGAAGCTAGGAAAGTAAAAAGGCCTGAAGCATCAAGAAATTTAAAATAAAGCAAGCAGCTCCTAGGCAGCCAGAGATGGAACAGATACATCTAAGTTGAGGCAATTAACATCAAATGGGCAATCGCTTTCCATAAACATTTAATCTCTAGAACAGGATAAATGGATACTGTCTGAAGACATCATTACTTAAGCATGGATTTTGCACATTAAATACACCTTTCTAGCTTTTTCCACTCTCTGTAAAGACAAACACCCCAAAGAAACCAGTCAGTGAAATACAGACCTACTGTGTATCCTTTGGACTCTCCCTCATTTGCTTTTCTATTGTCTTCTCTGTTAGCTACACAGATCACAAAAACAATAGCAGCAACCAGGATAAATATGTACTTTATGCTGCAACACTACCTGAAAGCTCTAGGCAGTCCGTAACACAACAAAAATAAATATCGCTCTTAGTTTAAGTGGGTTTCAAAATACAAGGCTAGAGCTTAGGAAACGCTTAAGAGATTATCAAAAGGTACCTACTCTCAGGCCACTAACAAGTCTTCAGTACACAGCACTGATTACCTATCTGTACATAACTTGTCACACTTTAAAAGAGTAACATTCGTTTCCCTTGCCACCTGGTTTTCCACTTCCACAAGTGGCTGACTCAAAATGATTGCTTGATAAGAAACACACAATGGTACCTACTTCCATAGAGAAACCAGAACAAAGGATTAAAAAGCAAACTCAGCTTCAGAAGTTAGTCATTTTCCTTTGAAAGAGCGTGAGGAAAAGCAGCAGCTCCACTCAGCTTTTCTACTGTTGGCAAGTTAACAGAAGCTTCAGAAAGAGCATATTAGTGAAGACAGATCTAAGTAAAACTGCAAACTTGTTGCAATCTCTCTATTTCAAATTTGAGTTTAAAACAATTCCACCAAGACTGTGGGACTGGGTAATTACAGATAAGCCACAACACTCAAGACCACAAACATCTTGTTACGGAGCAAATCTTTATTAAAAAATGCTAGAAAGGGGAAGAGAAAGAACATGCCCTGATGCCAAATGCAATTGCATAAAAGCAGAGAGATAATTTTTCAGGTTGATGGCTTGTTTTGTGAACTGCAGTAGAATTCAAGTCATATGACAGTGCTTTGATGAGCCAGAGTTCATGCACTGAAGCAGCTCTCTGTGGAAAGCTCCTATCACTGCAGAGCACACACAGAAAAGACCCCAGAAATTTGCTCTAGGAGATACGCTCTTACAAGGACAGTGATTTTCACAGGGTGAAACTAATCCCTTGCGCGCTGAACCTTTGCTTTCTCCAAATACTGAAAGCTCAGTTGCGCTTTTTGGGCTACTGGTGGTTGCTCTGACTCTGCACTCCCCAGAAAAGCATCCCTCAACTCGTGCTGACTTGCACCATGTTCTTCCCACAGCCTCCTTTAAATATTGAAAATTGTTTACAAAAAAGAAACCAATGCAGAGAAATAATACTTGGCCTAAAGTCTATTTGAGGCATTAAACACTCAATAAGACCTATGCATAAAGGTATTGCATTTAGGTGTCATCTTCCTTGTCAGAAGGACCTGCTTCTTTTCTTCCAGGAAAAGGTGATGATATTCTAATGCTGCAGTGTGCAGGACACAGCTAACTTCATCTGAAAGAAGAGTTAAGTCATCCAGCAGGCTAGAGTGACTTAGCTACCTCACACAACTATCTCCCAGAGGTTCTTGCAAGCAACCAGATACTGCCAGGACATACCTAAATACAAAAGGCAAGCCACCAAAATACACCCTTCTGCTGTTCATGTGAGCAACACGATTACACTTAGCACTCAGTCAACTCTGACAAGGTAGCGAAGCAGACCAGATCGAGCACACACAAGACCTCACCAAGGTCTGCTTTTGACCAGCCAGCTTTTACAGCATGACAAAAAACAGCGAACACCGAGTTTCCATAAAGTTTAAGGAAAGATCCCTTAAAAAGGCTGCAGTAATCCCCACAAGAGGGTGAAGCTCATGCTGATTTGCAGATCTTCCCACTTGGTGTCACTCTCTCAAATAAACCATTTCTTCCTCCAGGAGCCCTTTGAGAAAACCTCTTACTACTTGTAAGCTCAGGCGTTTCTTTGAGATAAGAGCTATATGCAAGGAATGTATACATAACAACTTTGTTTAGAATAACAATCCTGCATTTCCAAAAATGGTTGCTTTGCATATTAATCTTCATTTACAAGAATGATACTGTGCGAGTGACCAGGAAAGATTTCCTGTAATACAGGATACAGCAAGAGAAACAGCCTGTAGGGTTATCTTCCTCAGATGCAGTTCCTACCCTCCTGCAGCAAACAGCTTGAATTGATTTCTATGAAAGCTGTACTAGCCCCCAGGCTGCTCTACCTACCATTCCCAGCTTTTTTTTCTTTCCAGATTCTGAGTTCTGGAGGTCTCTCCTGTCCTGCTAAGACCACGTGACCTTAGTAGCCAAGATCATATCCACATGATGGCTACTAAAAGTTATTTATCATGACAAAGAAAAACACACCAAGAAACAACAGAGGATATTAAGCTCATTAAATTCAAATTAAAGTAAGGCTTAGTAAAAACAATTAACCCATAGAGTGACAATGCAACACAGTGGCAAAGATACATCCAGTGGTTCCCGACATCTTCAAATTAAGACTGGATACTTTTCAGGGATGAATGCTGCAATTAAATACAAGTTGGGAATACAGAAAACTGTGGCAGCACAAAAGTTTTATAGCAAAAACTATACACCAGATTGGACTAGGTGATCCAAAACTAATCCAAGACTAAGGTGAGTTGGCATAGAGAGACTGAATATGTAAGATAAGTCATTCTTCTGCAGGCAGACATCAAAAAGTTGATGCCTTTCTCTTCTTTTAGTTCAGTACAAATAACAGATCTAGCATGCTTCAGTGTACAAAAAATAGAAGTCCAACCTCAGCCTAAAATAAGTCCTTGGTGTGTATTCAGAAAGCTAACTTTAAATGTGTCTTGCCTATCCACATTATAAGTGTAATGTGAAGAGCACTGAACACCTTTCACCTAGGACAGCTGCTTACCCCACACATCTGCATATTGCCAGCTATTGTCTAGTAGTAAGAGATCCCTGGAAATTAGTTCAGGGGTTACAAAACAATGTTTTATAAAGCTCCTTCCCATTTCCTTTGCTTGCTTTTCCTCATGACAAATACAGTTGTCTTGGTACTGACCATTTGGGATCCCATAATTTAATCAAAATACAGTATTTTCCGGGCTAAAGTTATTAAAACTAAGCACACAAACTGTTCTGTCCTCTCAAAACAAAACCAATTACAAGTTTGTAAGACCTAAAAACTGTTATTGGAAACAGGTCTTATAAAAGGATGAGGCAAATAGCTAAAAAGGATTATGTTTTCAGAGGATTGCATTTATAGCAGGAAACTAGGAAACTACTTTTGCAAGTTATACTATACTACTTCTAGAATGGTTTCTTACTTTACTCACCAGTTCCAAATTCTTGAATTCTCCAAACAGAGCAGGCCATAAGAGTAACCTTATCTCCTAGATAACAGGAACTCATATAGTCAAAAAAAAAAAAAAAAAAGGAGGGGCACCTCTTAAATTTCAATTTTCTGAGGCAACATCCATAGGCAGTGTGAAAACAGCATCAAGGGCCACAAACTAAATACTTAAGTTTGGGCAAGAGATAATGATTATCAGAGCAAAAGTTGAGCCATGACCAAAGGATACACTAGCCAAAAGCACATGCAGCAGTGTCGCACACAGGTCAAAAGCAACAAAAGGAAAAACCCAGAAGCTTTCAGAAGCTTTTTGAAGTCCTGGCTTTCAGCACAAGCAACTAGGCACACTAGCCAACAAATGCACTTAAAGGTGGCCTAGTAGTACTTTCAACAGAAAAAAAAAAAGATTTTTTTTAATATATTTATTTCAAGAAAGCAGACTGCACACTGCACCGACACAACCATAACAGGAAAAAAAAGTGCAAAAGGAGAGATTACACAATAAAAACAGACAAAAACTTCAGGCATTATGAAGCCCTCAGAAAACGACTAACAAGACAGTAAGAACGCAAGTTTTACCCATTTTCCATTTATAAGCCGACCCTACTCAGCAGGCCTCAGGAAGATCCAGTTACTTGATCAGCCTACATGCGCAATGCTAATGCGTCCTCCCCAGGAAAGTTCATGTGTCCTCAGGACGACACTATTCCTGGATTAGACTTGCGTATGCTCCAAGTGCTTCCGTAGCAAGCGCATGGAGACCCAAGCGGTATCTGGGTATTTCTCTACCAAGGAAAGTGGCAGAAATATCACCTCGTATCAGTGGCTACATCAAGACCAACACCTCCTCCCCTCCGCTCCTGCCCAGATTGGCGGGGTCAGAGCCAAACATCCTCCCTTTCTCAACCCACTAATGCCAAACCGCAGCCAAAATCATCTCGCCCTTAGCTCAGGTTCCAAAGAGGCGGCTCTAATGTCAGCCGAGTACGTTCTCTGCCCTGGTCCATGGTGAAGCAAAGGAGTGCTTGGCAAGTAGGTGCTTTGTCAAAAAAAAATGCAATTAAAAAAAAAAAAGTGTTTTTGCCTTGATTTTCTGGGTTCAGCACACCACAAACCCAAGCAAAACGCAGTCGAACTTGAACATTTTAAGTTCGGATTTCCAGCTGGCTTTCAGGAAACAGCAGGGACAGAAGGGCCCTCCCGCAAGACTGAGGGATAAGAAACGAGTGCAGCGTGTTGCTCTGTATACAAAAACACAAATGGAAGCGGGGACGAGGCTCCGCGCGCTGCGGAGCGGGGCCTGGGCGCGATGCGGGAGCGTGGCGCCAAGGGCAGCGGCTCTCACCAGAAGAAGGTGTTGGT